GGCTTTTTTTCCTCCTGTTTGAGAGCTCCTTCAACAGGACCTCTAAAAAAATGGGGACTTATAAAAGGACCTCCCCTGTTGTGTGAAAGAGGACTGACGGCGCTATCACCAGAATTGACGTTAATGCAGGTGATACGCGCAAATTAGTGGCAAATAAGAATAATAAAGAAGCTGTACATGTAAAGGGGTATGTCTAATTTGTTCTTCTATACTTATATGCGTATGGAGGTATAATTGGTAATATTTTAAATTAGTGAAGTAACCACATGTTCCTCCTGCTCAACAGGGAGGGGTGGATGTCGGGGGGGAAAAAGAAATGGGAAATGAAAGGAAGCTGGAGGAAATGAACACCAATGGAAGTAAATAGAATCTTAGATGAATTCTGCATACAGATACAAAAGACGTTATTATATTTCCCTTTTATAACAATCTGTTTAAAAAAAAAATATGCCACCCGTGGTAAACAGAGTTTATATTTAAATATTCCGGGGAGGCCAAGCAAAAAATATATATTTTTTTGACACATTTTCATGACATACATTTTGCAAACCATTGCTTTTTTTTTAGAGCCATTATGGCTGCCCTGTTTGTTGTTAAGAGAAAAACCAGGTGGTGCATCGCCATTGCGCTTTTTCGATTAATGACGTTATGGCCGTTCCTTCCCACAATATGAACGTGCAAATGTGCACATATTGTACATGTGATACGAAAATTGCACATCACTCTTCCATGTGGAGCATCCATGGGTGCGTATTGATGGTGTGACCCTCATAGGGGATTTTGCTGTGTGCGCATTCAATTTAGCGTTAGTGCTACATCTTTTAAAATATGAAACCAGTCAGTGTTTAGCTTAATTCACGTATTTGTATTTGCATGGCCATTGGTCGCTATTTTTGTAACGTGGTATACGTACGTGGGCAAACACGTGTACAAAATTTGCTACACCGCACAGGACACTTTTGGTTTCGTACAACATGTGCCTTTCTCTTCCTTGTTCTAATAATACGTACCGCCTTAATGACAAACACGTTTGAAGCTGCACAAAGAATTTGAATAAATGCGGCAACAACAAAATGAATGACATAGAAAAAAGAAGTATCATGTGGGGAACATCATTTAACCAAAATAAAAGGGTCCAGGTGAAAAAAAAAAAAAAAAAAAAAAAAAAAAAAAAAGATAACAACAAGGAAAGCCTGCTTTTGCTCTATACATCTTAAAAATAATTTTGCGTTTACTAATTTTATGATGTCATCCTTTGGCATATCATATGTGGAACTGTTATTATTTTCTCCGCCATGTAGCGAACATTTTTGTCCTGTTTTATATTCCCCATTTTTTTTTTTTTGTTTTGCCTATAAGAGCGGTAAGCAAAAAAAGTTGCAGCAGCGGTAGTGCTACATGTGCCGTGTGGGTATAAATATGACGTGCCAAAAAAGTATGCATAAGCAAATACGCTTATGTATCGTGTATAATATATGGTATAATGGGTTAAGTTTACGAGCGCAAATTATCCGCATAAGGAATGTATATTATTTATGTTTGTATGGAATACCGCATATAGTGACGCAGTTTAAATGGCCATATAAAATAATGCGCTAGCAAATGTAAATGTTATTTTACCGTTTAAAATCTTTATTTTATTTTTTTTTCCTTAAATGTTCTCATTTAATGTACAAGATATTATTTTTTCTTTTTTTCTTTTTTTTTTTTTTTTTACCGACGCATAAAATAATCTGTTTAGGTTAGGTAATTTCTTTTTCTTTTTTTTTCACCTTTCCATTTTTCCATTTTTCCACTTTTTCACGTTTTTTTTTTTTTTTTTTTTTTTTCCATAAATTTTTAAAATTCAATTATATATATTTTTACTTTGTGAACAGGCAAAATATGCGTACCCTCGCCCTACCTTGTTGTGAAGAGGAAATTTTTTTGAAAATGGGTAATTGGTGAATTTTTTTTTTTTAAGAGTAACGTTTTGAACGAGTTTTAAAATATGTAAGTGTGACATGAAGGTACCATATGTACGCGCCATCATCTTTATGTACGCCATGTATATAACAACCTGTTCGCGCGATTCGGTACACATGCTGCGTGTATACCTTTACGCGCGATGAGTAAAAAATTAAAAGAACCAAAGAGGGAAGCATAATTTCGTCTAGACGCATAATGTACCGTGCGCCGCACCTGCGCGCTTCATGTATGTAGTTAACACGCATATGTACGTGTTACGCTAATGTATGTGTTTTGTATACTTGCTCCTATGCACATTTTAACGCGTACGATGTAGTATGTGTATTTGCAACCAGGACAGCCTAATATGTGAGTACTGCAATGTGCTATATGTATGCGTATATATATTTGTGCATGCGTACTCAATGTTTGGGAGAAAGGTGTCCGAGGGGAAAACAAACAAGGACAACAGGAAACACATGACGTTTTTGTGTTAATTCAAAAGCGTAGGTGTTGTGCTGGGAAGTGTTTTCTTTTCCCCCATTTGTCATTTGTTATTTTGCCATTTTTTTTATTTGGCAACTTTGTTACTTTGCCGTTTCATCACATTACCGCTTCACCACTTTGCCGCTTCGCCACTTTGCCTTTTTCCTGCCCCCGTTATTTCCCTCCTTTTCCCCCCCTTTTTTGGTATTTTCATTTTTTTTTAATTTTTTGCGTAACAAGGCTACACGGTTGTTATACACCGTCGTTACGTGAAGTTTTTTTTGTTGTGACTTTTAACAAGCACAAAAAGGAGAAGTATATAATTGGCAAGCGCACAGGTGCCAAGCAACAGTCTTATATATACATATCGACCATTTACGCAACGACAAAATGGAAAACAACAAATCTGGAGAAAATGCAAAAACTTTTCTGGAGTCCAAGGATAAGAGAGGGAAAAAGGATGACGATGATGACGACGATGATAAAAAAAAGAAACCGGATAAGGACAAGCAAAACGGAAATCATAAAAGTAGCGGTGGAACTGAAAACGGTAGGGGCCAGACGAATGGTGGAGGCAAAAATAATGATAAAAACGGCGACACAAAAGGAGGTGGAGCCGCGGAAAATTCCAATCTCAATAATGATTCTGCCCCTCCGATAGATTCCAACGCCCCGAAAAGCCCCAACGTTACGAAGAAGAAGGAGCGCAAAAGCAACAGCATTTTGCTGAGCGATACCAGCGCTAAGCGCTCGAAGGACAAGGGGGACAATGCGCACCACAAGCATGGGAATGCGGATACTGCGGAGAGGAAAAAAAAAGAAGCAAAAAGTGTGAAATATGCGAAAGATGGGGAAAAGGCGAAACATCAACATGGAGAGGAAGAAGAGGAAGATGAGGATGATGACGATGATGATGAGGAGGAGGACAGTGAAGAAAGTGACTCTGAAGAAGAAGAGGATGACGACGACGATGATGATGACGAAGAAAAAAGAAAAAATAATGACATTAATAAGGAACAGTCTAGAAAAAAAGAACAACATGAACCATTTGAACTACTCAATCTAGACAGCAGCAAGACAATCCAATTTTACACTTTACTAAGTGGTAAACATAAAGAAAAAGATGATAACAGTAGCAGTTCAAGGACAGAAAGATACCGACGTACCAATTTAAAGAAGGAAAAAAAATTAAAAATGAGTCATACGTATGAAGAGTTCCTATGGGATCATCATGATTACACCTTGTTAAAAGTAAATTATAAAATTAACAAAAAAAGTCATTACGATAAGTCGAAAAAAAGAGCACACATGCCCATATTCATAGGAGAAAAAAAGGAACGTACTTTAAACAAGAGCAGTATCTGTACAGATAATGCAAAGTTTTTAAATTTCTTAAAGGATAATGAAAAGAATGCCTATTATTATAACAATCGAAAACGATACGAGAGTAGAAGAAGAAAGCAAATAAAAACTAATATAAAAATAAAAGAAAAAAGTGAAACCAAAGAAACGTTAGACAATTATATAATAAATGTGAATGAGAAGAATAAGTATAATGAAATAATGTCCAGCGAAAATATAGATAAATTCACAATGCCGCAGAAGCAGTATCCTGCTACCAAAGAAACAGATGAGGCGTACGTGAGTGAATTACAAGATGCTGAACAGAAGGAAGAAATGAAGGAAGAAGAACGCCAAAAGAATTACGCAAGTACCGTTGAAGAGGAAAAAAAAATTATAAAAGAAAAAAGCAAAGTTAAATCTTGCTTACGGTGTAACCGAAGATTTTTTATATTTCCACAAAAAACGTTAAGAAGAAGAAAGGAAAAAATTATTATTTTTTTAAATCATAATTATTCTGCGCGTGAAAATGGACAATTTAATGACCATTTTTACAAAACCATTCATAAAAATGATTTGGATAATTTAGAAGAAGAAAGAATTTACATTGACAATGATAACGAAAATACAATAAAAAAAATTATCTATAGAATATTTCCACAGTTTTCCATTTTCAGTTTAATCCTCTTCGTTACTTTCATCCAATGGGTAATATTCATTCTCCTTATATCCATCAAATCTGATTTTACCTTAACCCCATCAAGTAAGATCATTTTTGAAGAGGAAATATGCGAGGCCGTTTTCCCCATATCCCGTCCAGTTTGTGCGCAGTGCGTTCTTCCAATCAATCAGGATGCGCAAAAATGCGTGCGTATTAACACCCACCAGCATGTAATAATTTTTTCTTTCTTTCCCCCTCCCCCCCTCCTGTGCAGATGATTCGTTAAAAAATTTTGGAAGCAATTTCCCACACAATATTTTCAAGAAGGCCGAATTTTATCGCCTTTTCACAGCACTATTTTTACATTCGAATTTTAACCACATTTGTGCAAATACATATGTTCAGTTAACCGTCGGATTCTTGTTAGAATATTTGTATGGGACATATGTTGTTTTTTTAGTATACGTTTTTACAGGTAAGGGCGTGTGAGGGGACGTTGGAGCATTATTTGGCTGTGGAAAAAAAGGAATTTTTCTCATGGCCATTGTGTGTGGACGAGCATGTATTTATATAATTATACTGTACACACGCTTGTCGAAACACATTTTTTGCAAAATTTACCTTTTCTTCCTCCCCTTTTTTTTTGTAGGCATTTATGGAATAATTTTATCCTCCCCCTTAACGTACTGCTACTCGACCACCGAAAGCAGTAGCAGCTCCTCAGGAATTATTGGAATTTTTTTTTCAGAAATTTTAATGATGACAAATTTTAATGTGGATAAAATTAGCATTAGTGTGCATTTATTTTGTTTTTTCCTCCTCCTCCTATTTCTTAAATTTTCTTTAAACACCGTCAGTATTAATATATACAGCCACTTTTTTGGTTTCCTTGGAGGTAGGCATTTTGACGGGGTTCCCACGTTGAGCTGTGTATGTTTTAGCTCCCCTGTTGGGAAGCACGCCGCTTGTTTTGCACACAACACGCTTAACATTTAACGCGTCACACATTTACTCTCCACACCACGTGTACCTCCCCCCCTTGTGCAGGCTTTTTAATCGGCATAATTTTAAAGCGTAACCAACTGAAGTACTTTCTGAAAAATAATTTACTAATTCAAATATTGTCCCTGGTGTTCCTAATAGTAAGTTTAGCGGCTGCTATTTTTATATCAACGTATGTCGTACAGTATTGTCCAAATTAAATTTTCGAACAAATTAATTTCAATCAACATAATTAAGAAGAAAGTAAAACCCAAAAATAAAAAAACAAAAAAAAAAAAATGAAACAGAATGGAACAAAATGACTGTAAAAATGAAATTTAAGAAAACGTGACAAACGGGAAGATGCAAGACATGGATCGTAAGCGACAGGTTATGTGTGTGCAATTTTTCTGTAAACCTTTTTTTTATCGAGACCCCTTCCCCTCTCCCTCTTCTTTTTCTTTTTATCATAAGTGCGCCAACTTTTTTAAATGCCGTGTTATTTTTTAATTGACCTTTTCGATTTAATTCTTCTGTATTTTTTTTTTGCCCCCAATGTGTACATTATATGTATATACATATATATATTTGCACATCATAAGGTACATATTTTTTTGTTCCTTTTTTTTTTTTTTTTTTGTTGAAAGGAAAAGATATTTTTGTCTTTATTATTATTCTTTTTGCTCCCCCCCATTAGATTAAAAAATTAACAATGTGCCTTTTTTATGCCTTCCTGAATAGAATATGCTTTAATGTAAACTCCTTATTTGTATCTTTGGTATTTAAAATAATGATTATTTATTTATCAACCTTTTTTGTTTTAACTTTGCAATCGTTTGCAAGGAGAAATTTGTAACCATGATACAGGTGCAATGAGGCACTACATGATTCATATGCCCCATTTTGCTTACTCAACATTTGCCTCATTTACTACACTGTTAAATTGACGTTAATGGCTTTGTAAAGAATTACGCAAGCACAGGATCAATGTAACTTCTTTTCCTTCTTGTGAACAGAATAGATCAGTTTCCCTTGTGAAGAAAATGTGTTGTAACATAATTTTCTTTAAATGATACCCTTTACGATGAAGCTTGTGCTGTTTTTTTTTTTTTTTTTTTTTCTTTACTTCTTATTTGCCTGTTATCGAATGGAAAGGTTTCTTTGTTCTTGCGCACGTTGGAACGAAGTGAAACTTTCTTGCAGCTCATGCAGAACAGGATCGATAAATAATGCAACACACCTATGGGTTAGCCAACCTCACTACAAGCAGGTGTCTTGCCAATTGAGTTTTAACAAAACAATCAAATGTGATAAAAATTAAGTAAAAGGAGTGATACCTAAGGTGGGTGTAGTAAAAGTGTTATGTAGCATTCTCGGTACACATTTCGTTAACTTTATTTTTTACCTTTTAAATGGAAAGTTCGGATCTTTTTGCGGGATGCTCACGTGCCAGTGGAGGGAGGGCATGATGGACTGTGCCCTTGTTACACGACTGTGCAATGTAGGACAATTTAATTTGTCTAACGAGGTACACGTAAATATATCTACACGAGTGCGTAGAAGGTAAAAAAGGGGCAGCATGCCCACGCGGTTCATTTCCCTCGATGCGGGGCGGATGTAACGATGGGAACAAAATGTATTGGCCACACCTTTGGTGAATTCGTGCGCCTAATGGATGCACATATGCCTAATAAGTATATATACATTTCTAACCCGTTTGTGGGAAAACGAAACAAGACGAAGTGAATGCTAAAGAATGAACCAACAGCACCATTGCGCGGTGAACATATGAATACATATACATACCTTGGTGTATACATCCACGGGCGTCCATTAAGCATATGACATATGCATTCCACATGTGTAACTGTTAATCTCGTGTGTTTCATGTTTTTATCATTCTAAGACCTCCCCTCCTCCAGAATTGTTTTCTTCACATGCACATTTCCAAATGGATATTTTTGCAACTTGGCAGTAAATCATTGTATTTTTCACCTTTGATTGATGAATGCATATTCGCTAGCTTGTGAACAGCTTGGCCCAAGTTTATGGAAATTTTTTTTTTTTTTTTTTTTCTTCCCATTTTGGCGCAACGCTTGTTCATCGTTTTTGCTAAGAAATAGTAGCTTGGTTTAGTTATTTTTTTTTTTTTTTGGTACCCGCTTAAATTGTTCCTTTAGCTATTTTTGAGTTCCTGTGCAACATGGCATGGTTCGGCATGACACGCTCTGCTGCGATACGATATACAGTATGGAATGGAACAATATATGGGGCTGCTTTATTTTTAATTTAATTTTTTTTTTTTTTTTTTGTTTACCTCTGAAGAGGCCGGGCGTTCATTACAACCTTTTTATAATGTGAAAAAAATTACGCTCATGACTTATGCGCATTTTTCGGTTTACCTTAGAAAATAGGATCTTGCCCCTCATATCATATTATGCATATATTTCACAGCTGATATTTTATTTGGAAGCTTTCCCCATTCCACAAAAGGACCTGTGCAATTATGAGTTCTGTTCTAACATGGAAATATAATATGCAAAAGTTCACTTTTGGAAGACAATATTTTTGTATGATATAAAATTTGTTGGGGAGATTTACTTTTTTTTTCGTTCGATGCTAGTAAGGGAAGCGAGCTGCGCTCATGGCCTAAATTGAACCAAAGAGAGAATTCATAAATGTATGCACACGTACATTTACGCATATACTTACTTACGTGCCAAGGAAAGGATACTTGAATGTACCATGTAACACAGAGTGATGCATGAACAGGACGTAGGGACACTTATACCTATCGAGTGAATCAAGGGGGTTAAGGACGCACACGAAGGCAGTTCTCAAAGCCGCAGACAGATTATCAACGCATCATCCCTCCCCCCCTGCGGCACGTGCAGACGGACATATGTAAGCACAGAAACAAAGTAGCAACCACCCATGAACCCATTTTGCACTTAATATTTAGTAAATAAAATGTTTATTATAAAAAGTAATATACCTAGTGATAACACGTTGGACACGAACGCAAAAAAAGAGCACACCAAAATAAACAAATTTTTAATCATACTGATTGTCATACTTAATGTGTTAAGCCTTATCTTTACGCTGGTGCTGGCTCTTAAGTTTTACCTCTGGTAATGAACAAGGGAGGCGAGTGCATAAAAAGGACGCCCTCAAATGCATGCGCATGTGCTGATATAATCCTGCGCCGAGGTGGTCGTCCACAGTCTCATTCGCATAGCACCAGGAGTAACGCCTTTTTTTCATGTCACCACTGCCTTTCCCCCTTCCCTCCTGCAGTTCCTATAATGTAACGGCGTTTCTGCTTCTGCTCACACAAACGTGCCTGTGGACATACTTGGCCATCCTGAACGTTTACGACCAAAAGTTTATTTTTTCCTTGTCCTCATTTTTCGGATTTCACTTATACACACAAGTAAGTCAAAAGTAATCTCTTTGGCCAAGGCGTGAACAAGTTGTTCACAGGAATGTGGGCCTACACCGTGTGGTGTGTCAGCACGTGCATCTGGTTGGAGGCATGTACCAGCATGCACAATTTTGTGTAGATGTATATGTGTATAATTTCTTTTTTTTTTTTTTCCTCCGCCGCGCGCACCCCCTCTTCAGTGCTACCAAAACTATGACAAATTATTCCTGTCGGATGAAATTCAAGAATATCATTTCATGTCGGTTGCCCTTTCGCACCTGCCGTTTCTTTACATTTGCTACAACATAGTCATATTTCAGTATGACAGCGTTTTTATAAAAAGTAATACCGAGACATGAGCGCTGCTTGGGTGCCACGTGCGTCATGCAAAGCGAAAACACGCCGCGGCGATATTTTAGCTCGCAGACGAATGGCAAAACGGATGGATGCGCAGATGTGTAAACGTGCAGATAATTGTTTGCCTCTGTGAGGGGACAAGGAGGCGCACATTAGCACATTCGAGCAACGGCGTAACTACCATAAAGCATCGGTTTCTTTTTCCCTCCTCTCCCTGCAGGCACGCTAGACTACACCTACAATGACAGTTCCCTAATAGTCATGAATTTTTTAAGGGGAATATTTTGTTCCCTGTCGATAGCAATCATTTTTATAATCTCTATGATCTTAAACATACAGAACACGTTCAGGACGTATCCCCTGCTTAAGTTGTCCAACAACAAAACTAAGAAGTACCTACGTAAGGCTTCGCCGCTGGCACACGCGGCTGTGAATACGTGTGCCTCAGCTTATATGCGTGCGTTCGCGTAGGGCCAGTATTTCCTATGCATTCGTTGCACATTCTTTTGGAACACCCTTCATTCACTCTACTACCCCTGACCTCCCACACACACTGCAGTATCCGTGTTCCTGTTTTACCTGATCGACTCGCAAATAAGGATAGTCACATTTCTCTTCATCATCGAAACGTACGAAGTTAACCCGTTCAAAATATTCGTTTTTATATTCTCTCAGGTTGGTAACTCTTTTGGGAAAAATTCGCCAGCGCAGGCGAGCGTAATGCTTGTCTGGGCAATTTAGCAGTAATGCAACATTTTAGTAATATATATATATATTTTTTTTTTCCCTACTGCAGATTATGACCATATGCGTGTGCATTGCCTTCGATACGCACATTTTTAAAAACATAATTATTGGCATTTCATCAATTTTGGTGTCTCCCCTGTCTATTATATTGCACTCAACGAACAGGTTAGAAGTGGACACGATGCAAAGCAAACAAAAGTGTACCATTTTCCTGACTTGACATTTTTTTTTTTTTTTTTTTTTAATTTAATGCAGAAATTATAGTAACGAGAGGGTGGTGCGACTCAGCAAGTTACTAATCAATTTTCGCTTTTTCGAGTTTTTTTTAATACTTTTTTATGGGTCATTATATTATGACGATGAGGAGATAGGAAACACCTTTATACTTTATATACAGTAAGTTGACGCCGATAAGGTGACTGTAAAGGTTGCGCTTTGGTGGTTAATCCAAGGGGCGAAGCGCACTGCGCTGCGTTTCACTCCATTGTTTTGTTTTTTCCGCTTTGTCTCACCTTACGCTGATTCTAATCATGTCCCCTCCCCCCTGCCTTATAGGCTGATTAACCTCATATTGCTATTCTTTCTCATAGTAACATATAAAAAAGTGCTGTCTTACAAGAGGAAGTTTGACGAAAACGTGGACGAGCTCAATGTAGATTTATACAACAATATAAATGACAACTAGATGAGTCCGTCGGCATGCGCATAAATATATTTAGCTGCTCATGCTAGATGGTGTAGGTGCTTTTTGTTTTAAGTAACATTTTTGAATGTTTCAAACAGCCAGCGGTGTAACGCATATAGGCTTTTTTTTTTTTTTTTAAAAACATATAATGTAATTAATGACATTAATTTTTAAACAATATTGTGTGTACATTTAGTTGTAGCCTTTTTTCTTTTTTTTTTTTTTTTTTTTGTCCCTAATTTTATCGATATAACAACAACCTTGTCGCATTTAAAATAGACAAAACGACGTCTTCTTCAATGTGTTTACCTGTAAAAAAGGGGAGAAAAAAATGTCAATTGAAAAAAAAAAAAAGTGCAAATGAGCTAACACTTTTTAGTTTTGTCCCCCCTTTTTGTTCCCTTTTTCCACTACATGTTTTAAAATTACATTTGAATTTGCTAAAAGAGGAGGTGTGGAAAATATCATCCCTATCGTTGTCCGTAACATTCTTTTTATACGTTTCCAGGTATTCTTCCAAATTGTCTATGACGTTTTTATTTGCTGCAGTGGGAAGGGGTGTGTGTAGAATTAGCCGCGTTGCAGTCTGCCCAGTGATGAGCCCAGCGACCGCGGCACCACACCACCGCCATTTCCCTTTTGCTGGTCACACTACAATTATTGTTATGTCTGGTCAGTATTACCACCGCTTTGGCAGGGACCCCTCGTTTTATATTCCCTTGAGAGGAAGGCCTATCGAACCGAAAATGAGTAATGCGAAGGTGCGAAATGGGTTTGTATAACAGGACTGTTGCGTATGGCTAATTACCTCGTACGCAAGGGAGGATATGCAGTGAAACGTCGCGAGGTCGAGATCCTTCTTGGTCACAACATTCAGAATGATCTTCAAAATCTGGGGGCACAAAGGGGGGGCGCGAGGGAGCGAGTGCGTATTTGTATACATATAGATGAATATACATATATGTACTAATATATATATTGCTGATGCATTTTCGTGGCATATGCGCTGAGCATTTGCCGACGCACACCCTGCGTTTAAGTACCCTTTCGCCGTAGACCTTCAAGTCGAACCACAAGGGCTTTATTTTAACTGTCTGCCGAAGGAAGTCACAAAAAAAACAATCGGTGAATACAATCAAAAGCGTTGTCCCATATTAGGGGAGCACACATTTCTGTGGTGTGTTAGGGACGCAGCAACACCTCTGATTAGACAAAGCGGTGCAAAAAAAATAAGCAAATTTTTTTGTCCAAACTGCGGGGCACTCACTATGAGGAGAAAAAACAACTTGTGGATAATAATTTTCTGATCCCTATTTAACCGCAATATGAATCTTAAGAAGAACGGCCGAAATGAATAAATGAAGTTAAAGCAAAATGACTTGGTTTGTAAATTCAAAGTAGAGGAAAGTAGGAGGACGTTGAATATGGCGAAGAGCAAATCGTTTATGGTTTCATTCCACTCCTAATAAAATGGGGTGAGGAAAAGAGGGGAACTGAGTCAGTAAGGGGGTCATAATAACATGGCAATATATTGGGGGGGGCAAAAAATAAAGTCGCAATATAGTTGTGGACATTCCCAGCAGCCCCCCACAATGGTTACAAGAACGCGTTTAAATGCTGAGGTGCCCCCGCTCGGTTTTCCTCTCAAAGCATTAATATGCGCGGGGGGTGCAAAATCAATTTAACGCTTAAATAGGAGCAATTAATAAGGGTGATGAAGAATCCTAAGGCCTCTTCTTCTACAAATAGAACATCCTGCCGCAGGGGGGAAAAGCAAATCAGACAATGTACCATAAAGTGCACATGCTTGAAGGTAACACTGGTCAGGCGAGCCTTTACTGTGTACTCTGAAGCGATGTAAGTAAAAACGAACGGGATCAAACGCAGTTAAGAAAACTAGATGATGCATATATTACGTTGGTTAGAAGCAAACATAGCAAGAGCGAGAGGGAAGAAACTCTGATCATCACGTCTTCACTGTTGACGACGGGGAAAAACAAACTCCGTCTAATGACATATTTTTCTCGGCCAGAAGTCAAATCAGTTTGTGCAGCTAATTTATCATCAGAGGGGATTATCTCGTCGGCACTTTTATCAAATGATGTTGACACAGTCATAAGTACGAAGGAACCTTTTTGTGGCGTTTCGGGCAAAGGCAAAATGAGCAAAGATAATATGAAGAAAGATAAACTCACAAAATAGTTATTGCTACACTGAATACAGTAGAGTAGTAGCTGTATCAGAGCTATGGAGGAAGACAATACATTGATATTTTGAATTTGTTTATATTTCCTACAGAATAAAATTAAATTTATAATAAAATAGAAGAAGAACTTTTCAAATTTGAGATCAGCATGAAGTATCTCATCTCTGTGTTCATTTGCATTTGCGCCTTCCTTTGCTTTTCCAAAATAATTGGCTAAGGAAGCTTTCACATAATAAGTCAATTTCTGCAACAAGGTGATTATATTAAAAATGTCCGTCTGTGCATATGCTTCCAAATTTTCGAAAAATATAAAAAAAAAACAGAAGATGTCTTCAATTTCGTCCTCCGTGTTTACAACTGTGTGCATGTGCCTGATGACTGCGTTCATCATTTTGTATAAGCTCATAGTTTTGTAATGATCTACAGAATATTTTCGTAACTTGATTATCAAGTAGTATACATATATGGCGAGGTTACTGTCGATGGTGTTCATTTCTACATTTTCGAAAATCTTTTGCACCAAATCCTGAGGTGATGGGGAGGGGGTGCACATAATGTGACGGCTGCGTTGGAGGGACAACACATTGTGGCCATATTACTCAGGATAGAATCCCCTGCAATGTGCGTGCATAGGTCGCAATGTGTGCGAATTTTGAATCACGTCGCTGGGATTCTTTTTTTTCGATTCCTCTCCCCCTCCGAAATGTGTAACTTACCCCATTTTTGGAAATGGACAAATAAAATCGCTGATCATGCTGATGTTGCCGATCTCGCTGATCTCGTGGATCCACCAGCCCAGACTGGCTGGACGTGTACAAGGAGAGCTCCAATTTGATTACGTGAATGATGAAGGAGAAGTAGTTGCTGTAGGTGGTGTTGCTAATTTTTAAGGAGAAAATGCAATCAAATGCCAAGTAAATATTTTTAATCTTTTTGATATCCAGCCATACAGACAAGTTAATTTTATGCATCTCCTTTCGGATGCACTTAAAAACGAATGCTATTTTTTCCTTGGTTATAAAATAGTAGGAATAGGATAAAGACATGAATAGGAAGAGCGGGTTAATATTAACCTCGTAATCGTTAAATGAAAAAATTTTTTCCACATAATTGTCCTCCCTGCTGACGGCTAACTTTTTCTCAATGAATTTCCTATCATACGTCACACAGAGGTACAAAATGTAAATAACCGTTTCGATGATGCCCCCGTTGTCGTTAAAGTTAAAGAGTAGAACTTTGGTGAAATAAAAGTCGTGCTTGCCTATTATTTCGATCAAAATATCCTCCATGTTTTCCCATTCCTTTGGCGTCCCGTCTTCTTCGTGCAACAGCATCTCCAGGATTCTGTAACACTCGGGGTCTGCGCGATGGGGGAGCACGCAGTGAAGACATGTGGAACGGCGATGCGGTTCGGCACGCAATCCGTTATGCGAGTAAACAATCGATTAGTAAAGTGCACCCCGCTTGCGCGGAACTCTCTCCCCCCTTACCATAATTCTTGCCGGAGACGTATTGAAAAAAGAGGGTGAAGGGTTTACTCTTCATCAAGACCTTCCTCATTTTCCTTTTGTACATTTCAAAGTTTAGTGAACCAGACTCCTCCACATTATTCGCAACGCATTTATCGTTGTGTCGTGACAGCGCTACTTCTTGACGTTTCGTTGCACTGAGTGATTGTCTTATATGGGAGGGTGAAATTTTCTCCACGTGGTTTAAAACACCAGATAATAAGTGAAAGAAGGGGGTGAAAAAGGACGAGAAAAACAAATTGGTGCTTACATTCCGAAAGAGTTTTTTTTTTATACATATATTTTCAAAGATAAAAATACAAGAAAGGTATAAAAATTTAATAAAGTAAATGATATCCTTATCTAAGGGGTGATTGCTTTCCTGGAAGGTCTTTTTAAAAAAAGTGTGTAAATCGATAAATAAGTAGAGTGTTAATTTTACGAAAGTTAACACTTGTAAGTCACTCCCATTGTCTGCGTCTTCCTGCTCGTCAATTATTTTTAGGTTGTTTAAAAATTTTTCATTTTTGTTTAGGATATATATTAAGGAGAAGAGCAGTTTCATCACGGCTACAGAAACATTGTATAGGTAATCATTTTGCTCGTTAAAAATGAGTTCTACGTAAACATCTGCCTTGTTGGTGTTTACCATCTTCATTATTTTTAAAGCTGTTTTCAGGACTCTAAATAGGGCTGCAATATTGGTTATGTAAACTTTGTTCATTTGATTGTTTGACTCTTCCTTTTGGTTCCTTCTGTCCTCACAGGGGGAAGCAACATCACCTGGTTTTTCTCCCTTTAGGTTGTTTCCCCAAATGGGGTTCTCCTTATTTCTGTTCCTAATGTGGGTATAGCCGAGGAGGGAGTACCGGGTTTCCACTTCATTTGCGAAGCCGTCCCCATTGTTGCATTTCTGTTTAGGCGCCAACATATCATCCAGCGCGTAAGGTTGTTCCTTCGTACACAACGTGGACAACGCTTCCTTTTTTGTCAGAGAAAGCATTTGATTGTTACCCCTTTTATCCACCTCGTATTGTTTCACTTTTAAGCTCTCTTTGTAGATCCCTTCGTCCTTTCCAAATATAAAATCTTCAAAAAAAGCGACGATTTGTTGAACGCTCGTAGGAACAGTATCAGGGGCTGATACTACCACTAAGAATGGAATTATATTAACAATTTTGAAGACGTGAAATATGGTTAGGGAAGAGTAGGACCCATCGATGAGCATATTAAGGGCCTTTAAAAAGTTAAAGAAGTTCGAATAGTCATCACTAATCTGGTTGTACACACTGTACTTTTTATTTACGTATTTCAAAATTATGTCAATTAGGACATCAATCATATAATGTGCATGGGTATGAGCAAAAAGAGAATTGTGAATAAAAAAGGTAACTAAAAATTTCAACGTCTTTTCTCTTAAGCATTCATATTTTGTGTTTGAGAGAAAATCGAAGACCCATTCTATCAGTGACGTGTTGGACAAAATTATATTCACAATGGCTTTGTGTATGCTGCAGAATTTGTAAAATATTTCTAAGCACTTCATTTGAGTATCTTTGCAAAAATTATTTAGTAGCGTTTCTTGTAGGTTATTACACAGAGTGATGAAATGTTGAATGTTTTCTCTCTTGTTTGGTATCTTCCAGGGGGTGTTGTTGCTGCACTTTTCACAATCTGCTTCGTACCTGTCTTCCGCGCACAGGGTGTCTATATCGTTGTCCGTATCCGAATCGGTGTTGGACGTTTTAGAGAACATACTTGCGCTGCTTCTCCCCCCGGAATGCTTTATTTGTTCGTGTTCTTCTTTTCCTCCTCGATATATGCGGGGGTACCCTTCTGCGCTACCCTCTCGGCCCAGGTCCCCCTCCTGAAACTGTTGCATTAGTTGTATCCTTTCACCCACTTCAAAATGCGGAAGCTCATCAAACTGCTCCAATTGATCCAGCATTTTCAACCCTTCTCCCTCTTCAACCCATGCTAAACCCTCACCGGTCGTGCTGCCACTATCACAGTAATTCAGCACGGGGACGCTGCTACTGCTGTGTGTGCCGGAATTCATACCATGGTAGTAACGCAGCTTGGACAGCTGCTTTTCACTTTTCCTCTCCGCTGTTTCATCCGATACTCGGTCTTGATCCACACTACGTTCTCTTTCAAAAGAGTCGCAATAGTAGGTAGCACTATGTTTGCAATTGGTGCCCTCCCCATAATGATTGATGTCAGTGAGTTCTTGCCCATACTCTGTGCATCTGACTAATGTGTTAATACTCTGCGACGATTTGAAACCCGATTTATTTTCTTCCTTTTCTTGCACACACAATGCATTGAAATTTTCTTCTTCGGATGGTGTAGCATGATAAAATGAGTCACTGTTGTAGGGACTGCTCGTTGAGATGTGCTGATCTGCTTGACCACACACATCTGCACTTGTGTTGTTCCCTCTACCTCCGCAAGAAGTCTTCAACCGGGATTTCCCCCCTTGCACACGTGTTGGATTCACATTTTCGAATTCGGCCTGGGCTTCTTTGACGTATTTTTTGTTATATTTTTTTTCACTGCCTTTGCGTTGGAAAATATTCCCACCCTCCTGATGACTTTGTTCAGTTCCGTTTTGACTCTCCTCAAGATCATTTTCATTCGGAGGATTCTGGCTACGTTTACAAAATTGCTCAGGTGTGTCAGTTTGGAAAGGCTCAAAATGGCCGTCATTTTTCCCGTACAGTTGGTTTGAACAGAGGTGGTCACGAAGGGTATTGCTTTGGCTGCCCCAGTTGCTGCCGTTGACGCTGCCGCTGCGATGTTGTGTGTGATGTTGGCTGCGATCTCGGCTACCGCACCTACCGTGGGTGTTCGAACAGGAGGTGTTGCAACTTGCGCGGGGGACAAGCGAAAGTTCGCGATTTTTCTTGGCTTTTGATATAAACTTATTTGGGGTGCCAAAAATTATTGTATTAAAAAAATAACTTATATCATTATAATTTTTCGTAATTATATAAATGAACTCTATGTAGTAATTACACAAGTGTGTGTTTTTGTTGGTGCACTTAAAATGTTTAATAAGATTCGAGAAAAAGTTTTTTAGCAATTCTTTGTTAATTTGCCATAGTGAATTGTCACCCCATAATTTATAAATAATTTGCAGTGTGAGCAGAAGCGCCTCGTTGTGCCCGCGGTTACCGTTGCTGTCGCGGCGGCTGCCACTGCGGCAATCCCCACGTGTGTCATCTCCATTCGCGGCGCCACTATCGCTGCTGCTCCCGCTATTTGGGCAAATGCTTGGGGCGCCCAAGGAAGAAGAGCAATCCTGCCCCTTTTTCTTGTTTTTCAAATCATCAGGTATAGAATAATTCTGCACGAACAACTTTATAAATTCTTCAATGACTGCCGATTCGTTCTTCAATGTAATGTGTATAATTGCCACATCATCCATTAATTTTTTTAATAATTTAAAAATATAAAAATACTTTTTTTCATTGGTAGAGAATTTTTTTAACCTGACAAGTACACAAGTATAAATTGCATCCTTAAAAATGTTACAAAGATCTTCAGAGCAGGTGCTTAGAAATTCTTTGCATGCATTGGTGGCCAATGTGATTAGTTCATTGTTGGCCGCATGGGCATAACAGTTTTTATTTCCAGCACCTTCTGCGTTTAACTTCTTTCCTCCGTTGCTTTTTTCCACCCTGTAGAAATTTCTACGCAGTTGCCAATCATCGCAGTTGTAACCATTCTCACTATTGCTGCCATAGTGATCGACACTTCTTTCCGACGTACCCTCCAAATAGCTAAACGTATTTGACAAAAACAAAGTGTGATCTAGAAGGAAGAAAGAAAAGTGGTACCGAAAGTCCTGACAATTCTTTATGGAGTATATTTCATTCACACTTTTAAAAAGCGCATATTTTTTATATAAGGGAGATTTGTTGAAAAATATTTTGTTCATGCATTGCACGCATAGGACATTTTGCCGCTTATCGACAAACACTTTGTCGTGATTTTCTATGCCATGTTCGTCCGTCCTCATTAATAAAACTTCGTTGAATATTACGTTCAGTTTTATTTCCATTGTTGTGTGGGGCAGAGTTCTCCTTCAGCTTCGTTGCGCACATATAGCACTTGTAGAAAAAAGCGCGTTTTTTTTTTTTCTATATGTGCTGCTGCGCTTGCACTGCTTTTTACACTTTTGTACAGTATAATGGAAATGCACACGTTGATGACCACACGAGTGATCAGCACGGGATAGGACGGTACATCAAATTGGAACGGAAAAAAAGGTTACTTTCTTTTTAATCCACATGAAAAGCACTTGAGAAAAGCATGTCCTTAAATGGTGTTGCTTACAGGGGTACTATTTCGCCAATTGGTATTTTAAAAAAAATGTTTTTTTTGTTTTGCTCCAAAAAGTTAAAGGGGACAATTTTTGTTTATACAAATCAGCATAAAAAAAGGGGGGGTGATTAAAATTGCAATACAACGCAGTCATATTCACGTAGCAACGGAAAGCAATTAGAAAGATGAATAATGATTTAATTACTTCATTATTGCTGTTTTTTTTTTTTTCTGTTATATCTTGATAAAAATAAACACATATGTATAAAGCATTTAATTCGGTTTACAAATGAATAGTCAGCATGCCAACGTACACATATACGTACATGCGTGTGTACATACACGTGTGCCTCCTGAGATGTACACATATTAATGGCACACATGGGACAGGGATAAATCTACATATTTATTAACACAAATTGGTAAAAAAAAAAAAAAAAAAACAAGCAACGTAACGCAATTCGAAAAAATTACATATTATATATACATGTGCAAAAATGCACCTAAGCTTGAAACAATTTTCAAATAAGATACAGAAAAAAAAAAAAAAAAAAAAAAAAAAAAAAAAAAAAAAAACTACAAAGCGTTTTATGATGACATGCAAGCCCCAGTGACACAATTCACATATCAACATGAAAGTGTGCCACATCAAAATCGATTTCGACGTATTCCTCCAGCGTTATGGGGGAGAGCTTTTTATACTTCCTCTTGACATTATACACATGAAAGTCACTTCTGCAGTGCAGCTTGTAGTTGCTTTTTTCAATTTTCGTCAAGCAACTTGTGCACATGATTACGGCTTCGCTGTTTGGCTTGTCACTTGGTTCTTCCTTGCTTTTCTCTTGTTCCGTGTTTGGAGCGTCTTCGTGTTTGATGCTATTGGCGCTGTTTTGGTTGTCATCCATAGCCTTTTCCTCATCGTTCCTATTAGTGCTCTTGTTGGCCTGCTGGGGGTGGTCACGGCTCACGTCCACGGAGTTATTCGCATTTGCAGCGTCGTGATTGGCTTCTGCCTGTCGGCGACTGTTGCCTTTGGCGTTGCCTCTGTTACGACTGCCCTTGTTGCTTATACCATCGTTTAGGTTGTCGCCCCCCATTTGTCGGTCATCCTTGCCTTTAGCTGTCCTTGCCATTGTGTCATTCGTATCCACCTTCGCACTAGTCACTGAATTTTCCACATTGTTCTTCTTCTTCTTATTGGAGGTGGCTATCTTAACGTTATTATTCAAAATTTTGCTGGAACAGCTCTTCTTATATTTTTTGGTAAAGGCATCTACACATCTATATACACACGGGTAGCATAAAAATACAATTTTATGCATTTCCGCATTTTTTTCCTTCCTTTCTTTTTCGTGTTTATTCTTTTTTTGTTTCGTTTTTACTTTAACGTCATCGCTAAGGGGATCGACCTCTGTCTTTTCATCCTTCTGTCGTGATATTTCACCTGTTGTGTTTTTTCTTTCCTCCTCATTGGAGGTGCTGTGTAACAGATGGTTTATTTCTTTTTTCGAAATACTTTCACTCTTTTCCTTTTCATTCGTGTAATTTTTGTTAGTTCCGTGACTTGTCTCATATTCCGCGTCATCCTCCTGTGCCCCTTCATTCGACTTGGGTGGTGAACTGTCCTCTACAGGGGCATCTTTGTGATCGCTGCTCAGGTGGGTGCTACCTGCATTGTTACTACAGTGTTCTTTATTGCTTGCATTTTGATCAGCAACGTTTTTGTGGCTGTAATTCTCCTCCTCTTCATCTTTCCCCATGACGCTATTGCCTGCACTATCCGCAGCAACTGGAACCCTCAACATTTTTTCATTTTCTCCAAATTCTTTCTTCGCTGGTTCGCTGACCGCGTCTTTTTCATTTTCTTCTACCTCATTTTTACGTAAGTGGGCACATTCATCACGCAGGTGACTACTTTCCGCATCTACATTGTCTTCTCTCTTAACGTTGTTGGTTAATTTTTGTTCTTCTATAATAACATTGTTACTATTAAGAAATTTTATAACGTCCTCTTTTATACAATCATCACAAATGATTTGGATTCTCATGAATGCCCGTTGAATAACATCATCATATTCTTTACTTAAAATGTCAAAAACTTTTAACGCTTGCTTCTTTGCGCTGTCGTCTATGTTTATGCTGTAACCAATATTTTTAACCATGCCTGTGGTGGTGGGGGCACATTTGGCAGAGGGGGTGTTGAATTAACATGGTGTGTATGCTAGTGGGGGAGGGGAGCTTAGCAGTGCCTCCCACATGTCTACATGTACATATATATACATGTAT